ATCCCAATTTCTCTTGAGAATACAGCTGACAACTATGTGAGAATCTTCTTCATTTGTCCTTAAATGGTCAATCTTAATACTAGAAATACTTAAAAGTCTTAAAGCAAGAAAGATTTTTAGTATTTCTAAAAGGGTTTTCTGCATGTCATTGAGTGAGATGTTGATACAATGGACATCAGCTCTATTTCTTTTTTGAAAGTTCAAGATTGGATGGCATGTCCTGCACTGAACTCAGCAAGTCAAGATGACAAACGCTTCTTTTTTTAATGCTATCAACTCTTCCGAATGTGTCCTTTTAGGCCCTTTTGATGCGAGATGTTCCAGTGCTTTACATGAATTAACAAACAGCGCTTCACAACGTTGTAGTGAGACGGGCAGTCCACTACATATTTTACAATAAAAATGGTACATATTTTATGACATGAACAATGTGTTTTCCTAAAGCCTCGCTCTATATTTAGGCACTTAAAAGACAGCTTGGAAGACCCAAGTCTGCATCGCTGATGTCAAAGAGAATGGGACTGTAGCCTTTGGTCCCCAAATCCCTATTTAGATACTTTGCTCATACAGCAATGGCAGCCATGGGAACAGAGCCCAGGGGTCTTAACTCAGTCTTTTGCTCTAACCCCAGACAAGGGAAGAACTGTAAAGATAGGAAGGAGGAGTCAGGGCAGAGGAGGTCTGAATTTTTGAAGTCTCCTCCCAAAGTGTCCTTCACAGGGCAAATGTTTTGTACTAAATTTACCCACCTGGAAGGATAAAGGGTTGAATTGACTCTGCTGAGGCTTGAATCTGTGCTTCTAGCAACTACAGCTTTACTATTCCTGAAGCTAAAGCCAGCAAGCTATACATTGCACACCTATTTATTAAGGCAGAAGCAAGTGGTTGGACTTGCCACAAGATTTTTACAAATGTACAGTAAGATCCAGATGTTGTTTTTTCCTACAATGTACTTTGATTGCTCCTCAGTTATTAGCTTGCTATTCCCCAAACTGTCCTTTATGTCTGATAACTTTAGAAGGTGTAGGCTGAGTAATGACTTAACCAGCCCTGAAGCGAGTACTTCTGGAGAGCAATGGGTCCAGAGTGTCTGCAGCCAGGCTCGGCATTTTGGAGGATACCCACAGGAATCTGCCGGGACAGGATATTTCCGTGCTCCCTCGTATCCATTTACACTGAAGCTTTCCTATCATCTTACTACCAAAATACCATTTGTATGCATTCCAGCAAACTTTCAACGCATGTATGGTGCAAATGAGACAGTCACATATCTCTGGGTAACTGGACACAGCCAATGGGACGCTGACTTGCCATTTCTTCTTCTGCGGGAAGTTCTCCCCAATAACTCTTAAGTGGGATGAGAGACGTTGCTATGATGCCGAGGGTTATTTGCACCATTCATAGTTTTCAAATTGCCCTCTGACAGCCACCTCTCAAAAAAATTAGCTCAGGTTTAGCAGACTAGAAGGCCAACTAGCAAAACTGAAGACCGTGATTCTCATGCATGGAGAGCTATGAAGATTTGTCACTCACCAAAACAGAAATTATTTGAGGAGCAGTAAAGTGACTCTTCTTCCACAGATGTACATATAATACATGCCAATTTTCCCTCCCTGAATTAGTGTTGAATGGTTCATAAGTTCCCTAAGCCACCTTGCATCTGCCATCTGTACTTTCATAATCAAAAGTCTAAACTCTGTCTGGACTTCGACACCATACAGTCCCCCTAGGGTAAATAAGTCTACACTGGTGTAGGTCAGGGGAAATGGTGCCCAGTTTGTGGTGGCTCCATCCAACAAGCACATTCACAGGTTTGGGGTTCAATTAGAAAAGGTTTGTTTCAGATTGGCACCATATCCTTTTCATATTAAACTCTATGTTACTTTCAAACACTCATGTGCTGACATGGTCAGATCGATGCTAGCACAAGTCATTGTTTTATGAAGCTTAAGAAAAATCTGTAAGCTTCATGATGCAAAAAAAAACCAAACCTGTTTTGATTTATGGATGAGTGATTTTTATTTCTCAAGTGAATAAGAGATGTCACCATTTCGATTTTAAAAGTTGAATGGCTACACACAAGGAGACCCTGATTTTCTCTGACATCCAACCTAAATCAATATTCAATATACATTTTGCATTGCACTGTTTTTCATTCTCAGGACTTATTCTTTCAAGAGAAATTTGGATGCTTATCTTGCTGGGATCCTATGACCCCAGCTGACTTCCTGCCCCTGGGGCAGGGGGCTGGATCTTCCGAGGTCCCTTCCAGCTCCAGTGTCTATGAAATCTATGGAATTCCAAACATTAATTGATCAATTCATTATAAACACCCACCCCTTGCACCTGTTCCACCTCACCTGAAAGGCAGGTTATTGCTATTTACTCCACTCAGTAAATCAGGAAACTGAGGTACATCTGGGTTAAGTGGCAGCTCAAAACAATGGAGCAAATCAGTGTCTGGGCCAGAATAAAATCTTGGTGTACCTGACTCCCAGTCCACTGCACAGTATTTATTGACACTGGTATTCGGGAATAGAGGGAAAGCAAAATTTGGACCTTGAATAGGGCCAAAAATTTGGGGCCTTAAATTTTGGGTTCTAATGTGAAAGAACACAGCCATTATCTATACCCATTTATGTGAATTAAATGCAATCACAGAGAAAATGTTGCCTTTTTTGCTTCGATGTTTACTTATAGCCATTCTCTGTTGTCTTTGGAGAGCACTTACAACCACATGCTATTGCAGCGGGTGGCAGAATTCTTTCATGGAGGACGATGCTTCCTGCTCCATGTCTCCCTAATAGGCACCAGCTTTCCACTCGGCATAGCAAAAATGTCTGGGAAACCTGTTCAAATATCCCAAGGATTTGGGTTCCCTGGGTTTCTCCTCTTCCAGGGAAAGAAGAAAGAAGTTCTACATTTTCTAGCAGGAAGGAAAGAAGAAAGGCAGCTCTATCCGGGAGGGTTTAACCTCAGCTTGTACTCTACACAAGATTATACTAATATGTAAGATATGTAAACATTATAGAGCAATCAGAAACAAATGAAACGATGGATTCAGTTTAACAGTATTCAGCTGTGGTGCAACTGCCAGAAGGCACTTTTTGTTATTAACAGATCACTTGGATGAGTTACAGACCTGATTTCAACTCTGGCGTGCGCTTGGAAAATCAATGTCAAACTATCCAGGATCAGAAGGCATCAGGAGCACATCTGGCAGGCCACAAAAATGTTATAAGGGCTATAAAATACATAATACTATGTAGAGCTAAGCTATGGTACCAAAGGACCAGTTTAAATGGTGCTAGCATGAAATTTGTAATGTATTTAGTTTGGCTTAACCCCTCCCCCTCACCAAAACTCAATTGCAAAAGTTTATGTGGAAGAAATGCACTACTTACCAATTATAGTTAAAGCTAACTTGAAACTAATGTTAAGTGGAATCACTGGAGTCATTGTCTTTAATCCAAACTAAGCTCGTGTAAGTTTTCAACACTGTCATTTGGTACAGACGATGAATGGAGCAGAACACAGACTTCTGCAGAAGGGAATCACCTTAGCTTATACCCCAGCCATAAAA